TAGGCTATGATCATGTTAATAATTAGGGTTAGGTTAAGGGTTAGCTTCTTGCTTGAAAATAATAAAATACAAATATTGTATTATTATTTAGAATAGTGGAATCTGGAAGCAACTGTTATATTTACTGGCAGATGAAACTTCTCTAAGTCTACTCCTACTATGTATACTCATCAACTTTATCATTTTGCTTCTCTCATAAAAGTATTCCTGCCCAGAGTGGCTGCCTTCCAGAGGACTTTTGGCCATTTTTCTCATGACTAGGGTGAAAAATGTTTCTGGTATCCAGTGGTCAGATGGCCAGATGCTGCTCAGCATCCTGACATGCACAAGGTTGTCACCACCAAAAGCCATGATGTGTGTGGAGAGCCACAGCCTCCGCCGCCATTACAAGATGGCGCCGGTATCCGGACCTTCTTAACAGTAAACATCCTGCTGCGCCCATAAGGGGCGTGCACAAGAGCCTGCTCTCCCTCGCCTCCTCCCGTGGCGTGATCTCCAGCAACCAATCCGCTTCTTATACGTCATAGATGGGACCTTTAGACTATATAAGCAACCGCTCTCCCGCTTCTCGGCGTCTTCGGTCTTTAAGCTTCTAAGAGTGTAAGATGCGCATACAATAAACTGCTGCAGAAGGATCCTGACTTGTCCTCCCGCGTCGTTCTTGCCGGCGAGACGGAAAGTGGTCGGGGACAATCTTGTCCATCATGCAGTCACTCGTTGGGTTCTTTGAGACCAAAATGGCAGCTTAGAGGCTATATATTGTGCTACCTCACCTGGTCAAGTTTGTAGATATTCTGACCAATTGGTACGTCCGAATGAACCACAGAAGATTGAAGGGTGAGAATGGGATGAAGATTGTGTTATGGCTCTGGAGACATTGTTCAGTGTCTTGCTTTCTCTGTGCAGACTGATGGCCCCTTATACACCATTTCTCATTGAACTGATGTACCAGAATCTAAAGATGCTGATTAACCCTGTTTCTGTCCAGGACAAGGACACACTCAGCATCCACTACCTCATGCTACCAGGTGTTCGGGAGGAACACATTGACAGGAAAACAGAGAGTGCAGTATCTAGAATGCAGTTGGTGATTGAACTTGGGTGAGTGATCCGAGACTGGAAAACTATTCCAATAAAGCATCCTTTGAAAGAAATAGTGGTCATCCATCAAAATCCAGAAACTCTGGAATACATTAAGAGAAGTAATCATTGAGGAATTAAATGTTCGAAAAGTCACACTGTCTACTGATAAAAACAAGTATGGCATTTGGTTATGTGCTGAACCAGATTACATGGTCCTTGGGAAGCATCTAAAGGGAGCCTTTAAAGCAGTGATGATGGCCATCAAGCAGCTGAGCAGTGAGGAGCTGGAGCAGTTCCAGAAGAGTGGGAACGTTGTTGTGGAAGGCCATGAATTGCATGAAGAAGACAGTTGCCTCATGTATACCTTTGACCAGGCCACCGGAGGGACTGCACAGTTTGAAGCACACTCTGATGCTCAGGCTTTGGTTCTCTTAGACATCACACCTGACCAGTCTATGGTGGATGAAGGAATGGCTTGGGAAGTCATCAATCGCATCCAGAAACTTCGATCTAGTTCCAACTGATGAAAATAATTCCAAGTGATGAAATCTAGTTCCAACTGATAAAATAACAGTGTATTATAATGCAAAATCTGAAGGAAGATACCTGAATAATGTATTTGAAAGCCACACTGACTTCATATTCGCCATTATAAAGCCTCCCTTGAAACCATATCCAGTTCCTGTATCAGGTAACATCCTTATTCAAGAACAAACACAGTTAAAGGGGTCTGAACTGGAAATTACACTCACCAAAGGATTGCGTGTACCTGGTCCTGCTTGTGCCTATGTAAACCTTAACATCTGTGTAAATGGCACTGAACAAAGTGGAGTATTGCTTCTGGAGAACCCAAAAGGTGATAATAAATTGAATCTTTTAAAGCTAAAAATCATCGTTACTAGCATTTTCAGTGTTAAAAATGTAGAGCTGTCAGTCTTCCATGGTGAAACAGAACTACAAAACCAAACTGGCTTGCTGAGTCTCAGTGGAAAAACCCTTCGCTTGACTGCAGGAACAGCCCCATCTCCGACAATAGTCTCAGCACTCTGCCGTGTCAGTATATCAACCTGCAACTCCTAAACGCCGAGCCACAAGAGTGTTTAGTGGGAACCGTGGGTACTCTCCTGCTTGAAAATCCACTTGGGCAGAATGCACTCACCCAGCAAGGTCTTATGTATGAGGCAGCCAAGGTGTTTGGACTGCGGAGCAGGAAGCTAAAGCCGTTTCTGAATGAGACACAAACACATGAACTTACAGAAGATATCCCTATGAAGACTTTGAATACAAAGATTGTGTGTTTCTCTTACCAAGGACTGCAGACAGTTAATAGTTATCAATTTGATCAGTCAGCCTTTCCCTGTCTTCTACCCACCCCTTTACACATATGTAGACATGGGCTCATTAAAGGTATTTCCTTTGGGCACATGTTTAATATGCTGCTTTGAACCTAAAATTCAAATGGAATGATTGAGACCTCACATAATGTTCACAGTCAGCTTTAAATACCTATGCAGTCCTGTTGGGGGAAGGTTCTAGTGTTACCTCAGCGCCACAAAGCTCATTTCTAAACTTGAGTTCTTAAGTACAGAAAGTAGGAGTGGTTTAAGTGGCATTATACATGTGTGTGTGTGTGTGTGTGTGTGTGTGTGTGTGTATCATTCTATAGCCTTATAAAACTGACTTGAGACCTTGAAGAAATGGACATAAGTTTCTGCAACCTAGATTTTCCTGGGTAATTCAATGAATTATTTTAAGTTTCAATAAATCAAAACAATAAACCCAAATACATAAAAAAGTCATTTAAAAAGATAATTTCCTTTCTTCTATTCTAAGAATATTTGGGGATGCTTTCCAGTCATCTTTTTTGTGCAACAATTTGGAATCCTCTGAAGTACTACATGCTTACTAGGAGCTACAGAAACTGCTCAGCAGTTAGGAATACTTGCTGCTCTTTCAGACGGTCCTGGGTTCAGCTCCCAGAACCACATTAGGCAGTTCACAACCACCTGTAACTCTAGTTCCCTGGAATCTGACACCCTCTTTTGGACTCTTCATGTACCTGTAATCATGTGCACATGCCCCACCCCCATATATTCAAAAATAAAAATAAATAAATAAATCCTGTTTTAGAGAGGTTTTAAAGGACAAATTGAAGAACCAAAATTCCTGTTTTATTCTTTCAGATTCATAGCCCTTTTAAATATAGTGACTCTACATAAATCTTTTCAGTCACTCTTCGTAGTTTTTCTCCATCTTCATAATTTGAGGTAGTATGTGCTACCAATCAGCTGTTGGAGTCTTTTGCTCTATTCAGGATAAGCAAGGAGAAGCTCTTCAGCACTAGTATTTGGCAGCTTTTGTTTGCGTCAGCGTTTGTCAGCAGTGAGTAGCTGCAGGTGACACCCTGTAGTGTTACTCTGTAGTCTTTGTGATGGTCTTGGGCACTGGGATCCTTTGCCTACCATGCAATAGCTCTTATGTAGGCCTAATGAAAGATTAACTCCCTGAGAATCACACAGGGCCACTGATAAGTAATCAACATGGCAGCCTCTGGCTTCTTGGTCTGAGACAAGGCCTAATGGCTCCTCCCCATGCCCTTTGCTAGCAGGGCCCCTTTTCTGGCTGACCAGTTTAGAAAAGACCAAGGACAGACCTGGACATATCTCACTCAGCTTGGAGTGCTGACCTATAGGCTCTCTCTTTCTTTGTTTAGGTTGACCAATCCAAAATTAGGGGAGGAGGACCTACCCCATACCAGCAAACACACTTAAAAGGCCCAAGCTCTCTTGGGGGCATTGGATCTTTTGGTTTCTGAGTTCCCTTTACTTGTGGAGAGCTTTTCTCTTTGTGCGTGTGTGTGTGTGTGTGCGTGTCTTTACTTTTAATAAAGTTTGTGTCTAAAATTTTTCCTGTCTTTTAATTCTTTAATTGGCAGAGAAAACGAACATGATAAAGACGCTAAGGTGGTAACACTGAGACTCGGGATTCCTTAGTCCTTAACACTGGCCAGCATTACAGTCCTTGGTGTGGAGCCCGAGACCCGTGCCCCTAAATACTTTATAGCTTATGAAACTGTCCTGGTGACCAGAGTCTGCAGGTTCTCTTCTTTGGCTCCTCACGACTTTCTAGCTTTTAAAATCTCAGCTCTCTGTCCTCTATTGTTTCTCTAATTTCTACTGCCCCTTTTCTTGCAGTTTAGTTGTTTAAATTGTTAGGTGTTTCTCCTTCGGCTGTCAATAGCCACTCCTGTCGATGCTCTGTCTCTGCCCTCACCACCACGCCGTTATTTCTCCTGCTTCTGTCTTTATGCCACCAGCTCAGCTCAGACCGTAAAAACCAGCCAAGAACAGTAGAGAAGTCTTTTATTAGTCTTAACGTTGCATCACCGGGGAGGCAGCACAAGAGTGTCCCAGGCAACTCACTTGTTTAGCCAGAGATAGGGTGTTCAGATGGATCCCAGTCTTGCCTCTTTAGCACCAGACACAGTAGCTCCTTTGTTAGGTCACCCTATCAGGGAGGGGGTGCGCTCCTATGGTCTGGCTGGAAATGGGCACAGAGTCACCTAGGGTTCAGCAAGGCTTGTGATAGCAGAAAGTCTAGTACATATTGTTTCAAACAGCCCTGGCTGAGGCTGTGCCTTCAGCAGCTGCAGTTGTCCTGCGTTATTCCCAAGGGGTCCATGGAGTGTGTTCAAGATGACTGGGGTTAGCACAGGGTAGCCGGGCTGGCTGTTTGACTGTCACTCTCTTCCCAAAGAAAGTCCAAGAGCTGCTAAATAGGAAGTCAAATTGCCCAATCCCTCAGCATTTCTGCTTATCTATGGGACAATGACTTATCAGGATTACTTACAATCAGAACTTAGCATTAAGGCTAACAGTGATTTTTGACACTACTTAACACCTGTCCAGTGGTCCAGGGAAAGTTGGATTCCCTTTGTCTGTCTCACTGACTTCTGGCTGTTTTCTCTGTGTTGGTCAGGAATTTTTAAAAATTATTTATATAATAACCATATACTTAGAAGAAGCATTTCATTACAACAGCATTGACATATCCAATAACAATTTCCTGAGCTAAGATGCATCTCTTTCAAAATTGGCTGTAAATTTTTAGGTTTACAGCTGAATTATTACAGTTATACAATATTGTACTCAATATAAACCCCACAAGACATAAAATTAAATGAGGTTTTATCCTTTAAAATGATCTCCATTTCATTATTAAAATATACAGTTTCATACAGAAAATTCATTTTTAACACAATTAACACTAAGATGTTTACACATGTGTTTCTAATCTCTATATATCTGATTATTACTAGTCACAGTCAGTTACTTTCTGAGCTCCTTGGCATCTGAGCATA